CATTGTAAAATGACCTGTGAAGCCTGATGAGAGCAAGTCTCTTGTTTGTAAGTGGAAAAGGGGAGAGAGCCCGAAGAAATCTCCCGCACTGCATCTGACTCCTTTTCAGAGAAGAAAGCAAGAGACTGGGAAAAGTAACAGCAAGAGAAACAAAAAAGAAATTCACGACCATGGATGTCCTAAAGAAGCAGGAATTTTGGTAACAGGCAACTTTGGGAAATTTTAATTTTTCCTTTGTCTTCTTACTTTTGTGGAAGATCTCCACGCCTAAAATCCATGCCATATCAACTACGACACCTACTGAAAAATCAAGAATGCAAATCAGAAGACTACAAACCATGCAAAGATAACCAGACAACATACCTAAACAATTCCCTCAGAAAACACCAGAGTGCACTACTGCATAGTTGAGATGATTTACAGCGAGACTAAGCAACGTTATTACTGAGATGGGGATTTGGTCTACTTCTACACAAATAACCTACACACTGCAAATGGCGGTTTTCTTCGTTTTGGATATGTGATTTTAAGGCAAACAGACCTGATGATGAACTCTTAAGCTTTCTTCTGTGTTTCCATTGTAAACCATAGAATCATTCAGGCCAGAAGCCACCTTGGGAGGGTTGTAGTCCAACCTCCTGCTCAAAGCAGGGTCACAGTGAATGCAGACTACGTTGTTTAGAGTCTGTCCTGTTGGTCTTGAAAAGCTCCACAGATGGAGATTTAGAGCCACTCTGAGCAACCTGCTCCTGTGCTTGTCCTCCTTTGAGTGAGTGTTTTTCCTTACACCAAGTCAGAACTTCACCCGTATCAATTTGTGACTGTGATCTCTCTTTCTCCTACCACACAGGTCATCAAAGACCTTACCTCCCCATCCTCTATAGCCTACTTATACGTAGTGGGGGCAGCTATTAGGTCCCCCCTAAAGCCTTCTCCAGGCTGAAGAAGACCCACTCCCTCAGCCTTTCCTCACAGGAGTGTGCTCCAGTCCCAACCATCTTGGTGGCTCTCCATTAGACTTGTTCCCGTCTTTCTCGGATCTTAATGACGTGTGTTAATACAGATCCTTTTATACACAGGTTCTCCAAATGCATCATTTTGCTTTTCTTGGAGGCTTACCTTGTCAAAGCAGCAAATACTCACGATGCTTCTGTGGGAACCTAAACGTGAGGATCTTGAGGCAGGTAGACTACCTCCCACTGCACTGAGTGAGCAGCAGAAGCAGCGGACCTAGATGTCAGGGCTCTCCTGGGCTGCAGGAATCCAGACAAATATTTTTTGCCTGCTGCTCCTCTGTCAAGAAAATAAAGACAAATTCCATCTCCACTTCAGCAGATTTCCTGAGGTGCTTACGCACATGGGGACTAACAGGTTAACCTAAAATGAGTGAAACACCAGGTTCATTCATGAGGTACTTGAAGATTGCATTAAACTCACCACAAACGCTTCTCAATTCATCCTTTCATTAATGAATAGCACTTTTATACCAAGAAGGTAACTGAAATGTCACGACTGTGCGTTTCTAGTGCTGAACACAGTCACATGGTAATGTAGCTGATACAATCCCAGCGCTGTTACGCTAAGGTGGGGCATCTCAGTTATCACACGGTTTTTAACTATAAAGACCTTGCTTTCAAAACGGTTAACTGACTTGCTGAGGGTGCATAGTGTTACTTAATGAAAGGCAATCCAAGCCGTGCATCACCTTGGTACCAAAATCTTCACCTTTTTGCAAAATTCAGCGCTTAACTATGTATTTTGGATCCTGGGCATCTTTACTAAAAACACTGTTTGAAAGAGGGGCCTTCGGTGTAAGACTATTTGATTTCTAGTTTCCACTTCAATGGTGAAGCTTCAGATGGTCATTCCGGACAACGCGGTGCCAAGCACGGAGCCCTGCGCAGCAGAGCTCTGCTCCACTGCCAAGAGAGACGAGTTCCCAAGGAAACAACGCACTAGCAAGCACGCGTGACATTTGCCCGCTGCTAAGCAGAATCAGCGACAGCCACGTGTTTTGGACTGTATCATTCAAGAGTTCTGCAAAGTGTCAGACAACTTTGCTGCCTTCTGCGCTCAGTACAGATAGGTAGAAGAGGGCACAAAGGGGAAAATTATCTTTTGGTGAACTGATGAAATCTTCTCTTTTCTCCTGCTGTCAGTATGGCAGGTGACCGATTCTCCCAGACTTCTCTCAATGGAAGATACTGTCTCATTTCTGAGGTCATTACTGTTGTAGTGGACACTACTGCAAAATATTCACTCTGCAGTGTGGATTTTGCATCATACAAAAGAGGAGTTTTAAAATATTTTAAAAACACAGCTCAAGAAAACCCTCAATCTCCCCTTAACATTTCCAAATAGTTCCTGAATATCACTTTGATGCATTTTGCATGTTTGCAAATCAAGCAATTATATTGATTTCTATGACAGAAACAAGCAAACAGGTCTACTACTACATTATTTACTCACAGCACAAGAGCCTGTCAAGGGTAATTGAAGTTACAAATGAAGATTAAGAACATTAGATTCATGGCTGACAAAAATACAGACTTGCTTGAGCTTGCATTCCATCAGCATTCAAGCTATATTTCTGCCTTGTACATACAACCTTCTCCACTGATCCCATGTTCATTACTCGCTGCTCCTTTCCATGTATTTCAAGAGGTTTGGGGACAGAGAATTATTTCAAGTTTTTTGGGTACAAGGCACAAAGTTTAGTGATTGGACAGTCACGATCTGGAATTATGAAGCAAGAACTACAAACCTGTGAGTAAAGCTGGAGAAGTACTCAAGTGTAACAACACCTTGCAGAAACTGTTTTAACAGGAAATATAGCGCACTACTAATTTCTGTGGTACAAAGTTATTCCAGTTACATCCCTGCTGCAAAGCTCTCTTGGGAACAAAATTGTTAAAAAAAATCTGAATATACATGTGTTGTAATCCCTGCCAACAGGCTGTTAGGTCTCGCCTTGTGTTTTGACGAGATTTATGCAAGCGCCCAAGTGCACAGATATGAGGTACCTTTCAGATGTACTGAACCCAAACATTAATATTACCACTAATAGATCCTGATAACACTGATCTCCGCAGATGCATCACAGATGAACACTTCCAATCTGCTATGTTTAGAAATGTATTCTTACATTACTCTTATTTCTCCAATCTTTTTTCCCTGCTGGATGAAACTTATCGTTATATTATAAACGTAATAACATTGACAATATTAATGTTAATCAAAATACGCTCACAGTGAGAAAGTAATGACTCAGACCTGTAACTTCTCTTACACATTCTACCAACAATCTCTTAAGAAACAAGTATTAAATACGTGACTTTACACAAGTAGCACCATAGGCGACCCTGCTTCGGCAGGGGGGGTTGGACTAGAAGACCCACAGAGGTCCCTTCCAACCCCTACTATTCTGTGATTCTGTGATACTGTGATTTAAAATTTTAAGACAGCACACTGGGTAAGTTTTCAAAATCTTTTTTATTGTTTGCACTAACTGTAGCATCATTTACAGCTTTCATCTCTAACAAACTAAAGGGAATCAGCACACACAAAACGCAGCCAAGGTCAGCACTCAGCGTGGAGCCTTGGTCCCACCAACGCAGTACACCTCGGGCTGTAGCAGACCGAGCAAGTCACTGCATCCTCATGCTTCCAGTACAGCCACCCCAGCTTCATGCATTTCTCAGGGCTTTTAAGAAGTTTCATTTTAGGAGCGCAAAGGGAAAACAGCTACAAGATTTACAGAGATGAGCCATTTTTAAACCAAAATTCTTACGTCTAAATTATTAAACTACAACAAGGACACTTCTTCAGCTGTAAAAATTTTGCTCTGCAAAAGAAAGAAAAACAGTTAGTCACTTTGCTGTATTCAGCACAGGTAAGATCATTAGCAGCCTAAACACTCGCAGGCTCATGCTGCATATATTCCTATTTCTGTCAAAAGTTTCCCAGGATTAGTCACCAGCTCCTGGCTTTCTCCCTGAGCCAAAATGGAAGCCAGTGTAAAACCAATCACTTCTGCGAGGGCTTTGGCTCTTTAAGCCTGGCTGAAAACCTGGGACTTACCAGAGAAGAGCCTGCAGCAATCCCCAGCGCCTGTACAGAAACAGACCCGCAAACCAAGGTTGTCCATTTGGTTCTACTCGTTTCTGCAAGTAGTTTATGAACTAATTTTTAAAATTAAAATGGTTAATTATTATTATCAGTTTTGATGAACAAGCTTTATCCTCTCAATTTCTGAATGTACTTTTAATTTGTTGTAGCTGATGCATTTGTTATTGGATCTGATGTATTTCATAGAATCATAGAAAGTTTTGGGTCGGAAGGGACCCCTAGAGGTCATCGAGTCCAACCCCCCCACAGCGAGCAGGGACACTACTAACTAGATCAGGTTGCTCAGAGCCCTGTCCAACCTGGTCTTAAATGTTTCCAGGGATGGGGCCTCCACTGCCTCTCTGGGCAACCCGTTCCAGTGTTTCACAACCCTCATTGTAAAGAATTTCTTCCTTATATCCAGCCTAAACCTACCCTGTTTTAGTTTAAAACCATTATCCCTCGTCCTGTCACTGCTGTCTCTACTAAAAAGATGTTATTTACCTTACTTCACTGGCTTAAATGCAGAAGTCAGCACAAGAGGGAAGGAATGACAGAAGGTGGAAAACATGCCCAGTTAAAACAGTAAGAACTGAAATACCCCAAGATTAATAACAGAGAGGACAAACATCTCCGTATGTACTGAAGACCTCCCAACAGGAGGCTGTCAGGGAGTCCTGAATTAGTAGCCATGACTGGGATTTAAGCTGTCCAGCCCCTCGAAAGCCACAGCACACGCTCTGCCACCTTAGATTTTAGCAAACAAGCCTAGAACCACACTGCCCACACCCCTGAGACACCCCCAAGATCAAAACAAAGCGAAACTACAACAGGATTATTCTAAGGTACATTCTGCCATGCTTCAAGACAGGAGTTTTACCTGAAGCAAATCCTTAACCTCTGAAGATGCCAATAATGTAGGAGCAGAAACCATGCAGGGACTCCCAGCAATGTTCCCGTGCCAGTTTCATTGCTTCTGTTTCATATTCAGACCCTTGACCATGGTGGGTTGGTTTTATAAGAGGTAGTATTGGAGGTTTCCCTATCTTCTTAACAGAGCTTTTCCCTGCTCCCGTCATGGAAGTTTTCTGGAGTGATTCATCCTGGTTTTCTAGATCTTCTGGCTCCATACCAGCAGCTATTTGCTTCATGAGAGCCTCTGTGGGAGCCTTCTGGCACATGGTGGTCTTCAACACTTGTGTGGATTCGCAAGCATGCGGGAGCTTTCTAAGTTCTGCAGCAATCTGGTTCCAGTAAATCTTTGGATTGTTTCTGAAAGCACGACAGGCTGATGGCTTGCCAGTGAATTCGCACCAGTAGGACATGCCTCGGCTTTTGCATTCAATTCTAAGTTTCACCTCCTCGTCCCCACTCATGCTCATTGTGCAAACATCTTTGGTTTTAGTCCGAAAATTGATTTCTTCACCATTGCTTCTTTTCTTTGGCTTCAGCTTGTGTCCCAATCCTCCCATGCCACAGATCAGTACGAGGAAGAGAAGAGCAAAACTCTTCATGGTGAGAGGAGCTGGCTGAGATCCTTGAGCAGCACGATCCGAAAAAGTGAAACCAGTAAGTAACTGGCTGCTCACAATTTAAAGGCTTGGTGCACAAAGAAGCCTCTTTCCAGCGAAATGTGGGATGCACATTCAAGGGTTTTTTTTATAAAAATAATAAATCACACTTCAGTAGGCATGTGCCCATAATTTATAGCCCAGGGGAGTGTCGAATAACCTGTGAGCTCCCAAGAAGGTAACAAGACAAATCTTGTAAATGCAGTTAAATACAGAACGATAGTTGTGTAACTGAGAAGCACATTCCTATCCAGGATGAACATGTCATATTTGATTTTTAACAGATATTTTCCATTCTCCAGCTGCTTTGTAGCTATCTTCATGCCAGAGCTTGTAAGACCATACTAAAGTAAAAAAAGATAAAAGTGCCAAAACAATCTACGCAGCTACATCTGGGTGATCACAAATGTGTCCTACTAATACAGGCTGATTTGTGGAACGGGTTTGCTGCGGATTTGTAGAGTCAGGATGCAGCTTCAGTACTTCACTTTGTCAGCACTCGACATGCAGTGCACACACATGGAAGAATCAACTCGACATTCTTTGAGCCATGAAAGATTTTTAGACTTGCAATATTTAAGCAAGATAAGGAATAAAGCTTTAGCAAAATTAAGTTATTATAGATCTAAACATAAACCAGATATTTGAAAGTTTTATCATCATTATCACACCATGGATTATTTTCTGCCAACAGAGCAAGACAACAGAACTAGCTTATCCTGGGTCTCCACAGCAGCAAACAGACCCCAGAGCACGTCAGACAGATATTTGTGCTTTATCATCTTTTCGTTTTTTTATTATATATTTTCCTGTTCATAATCAATGAGCTGTAAAAATGCCATAAAACAAAGGCAAGAGAACGGAAATATTTCAGTGTGGAATCCTGTGCTAGCAGTTCCTGCTGCAGCAACTAAAAGCAGAGCTAAGGAAAATCATGGCAAGTCCCTTGGCATTTAGGAGGTCATGAGGAAAAACCCCTGCAGCTGCATGCCACAGTACTTTTCTGGCTAGTAAGACCCCACTAGGCACTTCTTTTGCAGACACATATGCTATACACATCCTGACCCAAACAGCTTCTGGACGGGGTATCATATTATTTAGGTACACTTGAATAACTGTGGGGTGACAGAAACCCTGGGATTATGAACAGCCATACGTAATGGCACAGAATACCATTTTGTATATCTAGGCACTCAACAGGTATCGCTAAAGAAAATACCGAGGCAGAAACATTTGTTTAACACAGATGGTGAAGCAGAACAAAAAAAAAACAAAATTGCAAAAAATGCCTCTCTAATACTTGATGATAAACAGAGGCCCTAGCTGCTCTGGCACCCCAGCTAGTCTGAGAGCTGCCTGAAGATGAAGCCCCCCGGAACAGCCATTCTGGGTAGGCCAAACCTTGCTCTTCCAGTGAACGTGTCACGAAGTTCCTCATGACTAAACACCATCTGACCGACAGAACAACACTGTTTTCTTTTCATCCTCTCTGTAAGGCTATTTTAGTAACATTTTTAGTAGAGGCATCACTTCTAGGTTCTTGCCATTTGTTTCTCCTGATCGTCTCTTTCAAAGCACAGTGGTGTGGCTCTCCAGCGAAGTCTAAGGAGAAACGGTGATGGTACAAGCTTACTTAAGATTTACAATTCAATCTTCTGTTTTCTGGTGAATCTTCTCACCTGTCATCCAGGCAGACAGAAGTCTGCCATCCAACAGCAGACTTGTTGCCCGGCTCACACTTTGTTTCAAGGATTTCGAATCCCTACTACAAGCATTCAAAGACCTCCTATTATTTGTCAGACTAACTCATTATTTACTCATGGTTATGTACAACAGCACTGACAGTTCCTAGATTCGAAACTAAAGGCATTTGTCTCTCTTGTTAAATTGTTAGAGTTCAAAACCACTTAAAAATTGCTTTATACCAGTTTCAGACCTCTCTTTTAAAGCGTAATCATGCGAACAAATCAGACTACAAGGATAAGGACAAATACCAGAGCTTGGACTCAAGAGCTCTGGCATACTTATGTGTTACAGTTAATACATCACTGTCAACTGTTTGTCTCGCTCCCATCTGACATTTGTGTCTTCCGTCTGCCTGTGCTTCAGATGAAACAGCTCATGGACTGTTAAACCAGTGGAAAACAATTGTCCTTTTACAAGTCAAGCTGGGATGCCAGCAGTGAACTACAGGAGCTGAAGAACTGGCAAACGTTTAATTCCGCTGTCAGTGTGACAGAAACAACAGCGGCAAGTGGTAACACCTCGAGCCCTTGCAGGGTATGTGGATATCCTCCACAGCTCATTAGCTCAAATCTACCATCTCTGCATAAATCACATCCTTTGTGAAAGTCAGAAGCTCCCTCCCCGAGTCAATGTTCTTCCAGTCCTTCCTGCTCCAATTCGTGGCCTCTTATCTTGCTTAAGCTGAAGTCAACAATAAAAGCAAAACAAAGCAGAATTTTTAAATCAGGGTAAAAACATTCATTTTCATAAGATTTTAACCCTTCTGAGACAGGTCCACACAACAAAACAACTGAGAATAAAACATCAGGTAGTTAAGCAAGTTCTTTTTTATTTAAATGAACTGGGAACATTTTTCTCAAATTAAAAATAGAAACTTTTAAAAATCTGCAGTTCTGAACATTACATATACACATATGCTACATACTGTCAATAAGAAATATTTCCATTTACGACCTAAAAATGAAAAATTTAAGGTTATTCCAGATTAAAGACTGGTATCACTTTTCAGCATTTCTTTTTAATTATTTGAATGATTAACCCTACTTCAAGCCAATCAACCTTGTTGGAAGCAAAGTTAACAATACTGATATGTGAAGAGATCAGTATTTTAGATCAGTGTACCAAATTACTTCACCCGCTGTCATGTTTTACACTAGTAACAGATACTTTTGGCCTTGTTGATGAATTTCGCTGTTAACTAATTAAGCAACGCAACTGTATGCCTAAATTCAAGGCAATAACTCTAGTAGTACAAACATTAACTCCAATTGCTAAACACATTTGAATTTCAATATTGGAAACCGTATTTTGAAATTATTTAGCAAAAATAACATCACTGAAAGAGCCACAGCTTAACAGTGATTCTATTAAGGATATTACAGAAGTGAGTGTGAATGAGGAAAAGGGAGACAGAGAATGTAAAGCATTCTAAAAATCACCAATATGTGACATCTCTCATGCTCTTTTTGAGTACTACTGAACTCTAGAAAGCTTAGCTTTTTTGCTATATTATGCATTACGCACATTCCCAACCCTCCCACCCAAAGAGCTTCAAAACAAACTTCTCCAAAAAGTCCCTTTTATGTCTATACTACAAAAAACACTACATATTAAATATTAAATAATTAAAAAAATAGAGAGAAAACAAAACAGCAACTGAACTTTTCAGAGACACAAAGAGACACTGTGGATCCCATTACACTTCAAATTTAGTCCAAAGTCATCATTCAAGAGCACCGAACAGCAACACTGATCATGCTGGTAAATTCATTTGTGAAGAACATTATACAATCTTAAAATCTTAACTAAACACTTATAAGTTTAAGAAAAATGTATATACAAAAGTCTCTGTATACAAAATGTAGTTTTATGTAAACGTGTATGTACTGTATTTAACACAAATCAACAATTTAAAATAAGAACTTGACCAATTGTCAGAGGATTGCTAGGCAAAGGCTGTTAATCTAATTAATTTATATACTGTGATGTAAGGTATAAAGCCCAGTGTAAAAAAGTAAAAAACAAAACACATTTTAATTCAAGCCTTGAACAGTGGTATTTGAGAGGCAGTGCCCTGATGGCAAAATATTCTGTACAGTAGTTCATGGCATAACATTCAATAGTACATTTGGGATTTACAGTATGGGTGACACAAACCAAGTGGCTCAGGATTTGGAAGATGAACGCAAATGCCAATACACTTCGAAGAACAACGATATATTCCCGCAGAAGTATCTTGAGCCTCATTTATTTAGCCTGGAAATAATCACAAAAACAATTCAGGAAAATTTGATGAAGACAGATGTGTAAAGTAATCTCAGCAGAATGAAGGCATAGATTTTCATATGAACATCAATATGGTTCAATAATTTTTTTATTTTTAAACCTTACGGCACTCATGTTACAGAAAGCCTTCTTAAAAATAGTAAAGTAGTAATAGACCTAGAATTGACTTTAAAAACTTATTACTTACCCCTTCATGTTTCCAGTATGTGTTACCACTGTTCCACAGAGCTATACAGGAAAAAACACAAACCAAAACCATAATTTTTTTTTCCCACAAATGGAACAGAAATACTGTGTCTAACTAAAGGTGAGACAAGTTCAGTTGGTACAAACTGTTCTCAAACTTTTACCTATTTAATCAAAAACTTTTCAAACAAGAGGAAACAGATTAATGGTTTTCTTCATCAGCCTTTCTGGTTATCTTTGTTTTATGATAGAAATGCTTTGATTACCTATGCAACATCACTCCTTTGAGAACTTAATTCAGCCTCCAATTTTGCTCTCAAAAATGGTGGCTGCATTTGAGGTTCTTTGTATCTTCGACATTTATGTAAAAATACCTGTGTAAGATATCTACACAAATATAAAAATATACCTCATACAGATCTTACACTTGTATTTACATGTATTTATAAAGAAAGATATTTGCATCTCTTTGCAGCAAAATAATCCAGCTGATTTTGAAGGACAAAAAAACCCCTGTGGGATTCTTAACACCTGTAAAAGTACAGGTGTACAAAGATCTATATTCGAAGTCCTATCATTCAAAAATAAGAAAAAGCACGGATAGCATAAAAGGGAAGAGTTTGCTGAAATGCAAATGAAAACCAGGACTCTATTGCTATGGGAATCCCAGACTGAGAAATTCAAAGCATGTATCTCTCATAATTAGCAGTTTTTCAAATTATCTCAGCACATCAGAAGACAGCATTGCTTCAGACTGAATCCTTACATTTTATTATGGAAGGCCATTTTGAGTAACTTCACATTTAGGAAAAGGAAGTCAGGACTGAACTAGTGGGTGCTGTTTAAAAGATTATTTTATGTCAGTAATTTTTAGCATATTCAGGAACGCCGTATTAAACTATTCCTCAATCACTGAAACATCACAGAAGATAGGCTATGAATCTCAGAGCATTAACATTCGTATTAAAGATTCAAAAGGGACTTTTAAGACCTGAGCAATTATTAGTTTCCTCTTATGTAAAATATCTAAAGTCCTTAAAACTGAGCGTCCTTAGATACGCCAGTGGAGATTACTTTTGAATCAAACACCTCATAGGTTAATTTAGGGAGTGCCCTTCAGTTGCAGAACAGACCATGACAATCGTGATCACAAATACCACTAGGAAACATCAT